CCTTAGATACAGACACAAATGGACGAACTGAACCTCCATTAGGAGCGCACGCGGCGCTCTTGGATCATTAAATACTGCAATGATCTACCTGTCGCTCTGTAAGGCTTATCTTGCATCCAGTCATTACATTCTTAATGAGTTTTAGGCACACGTTCCCTGAAGATAGCAACACATATTTTCTTTCATGGGTCATGTTAGAATGCACAGCATGCACAGACTTGCTCTGGTGTGTAATCACTTCTTTATATGGGTCCATTAAAGTTTGCTGTTCCACATATAATAATAATAATAATAATATTAACCTTATACTAACTTTGCATGCTCCTGCCAAATGCATACATTAGGTTTGTATGGATGTGAAGACTAAGAGTGGTTTGAGATTTGTAGCATATATTAATATGAACAATTTAGAGTCATGTTTTATTTTATGATTTTAAATTACATATGTGTTATGAATTTAAAGAAAGCAGACGCATATGTATGTATGTTTTTAAGGGATGAAAATAAGCTGGAACAAGCTCAGTACTGTAGTTGCATCTCTCTCTCTGCAGGTTTTGTAACTCTCATTTTCATTGTGTAACTTCAAAGATCCCATAATGAGATTTTAAGCATTATTATACCAGCAAGTAATAATTTGTTATATGACGTAATGTACTGGAGTAATGGTGTTCTTAGCAGAGAATGAAGTCATATTTCCTCTGTGTGAGATAGTGCAAAGCTTCTCTTTCCAGTGTTTTGTTAGTTACTCTTGCACATAAATGTGTGCGAGTCTCCTTCTTTGAATTAGTCACAGACAGGCAGGTAGAACTTAAGAAAAACGTAGGCATCAACTTTTAGCTGGACTGCTTAATACTACCTGTCTTGGATGGGCAAAAAAACCAAAAAACCTAAAGATTGTTTTTAGTTAATGCAAAGAGAAACAGGGCATTTTAAACCAGGACAAAAAATGGTTAATGCATTAAGGCTCATAAAAAATCTTCTTTTGTTTCAGTTAGTTTTTGTTATTATTGCTCCAACCCTGCTAGTCACATGACACACTTTTTGGGGAAGATCTCAGGAAGAAGCCCAGAATACTTGCTTTCTGTTTAGCTGCTTTGGTTTGCTGTAACAGGTAACAGACATTGGTGTACACTCTGTCTGCAAATATTGGCTAACTGCTTACTGTGCTAACCCATGAACACATAAAATGCAAACTGTAAACAAAAATTGTTTACCTTCAAAGTAAAACCTTTTGAAACATGTTGGTTGCAACACTAAGACACATATTTTACTTTGAAGGTGAGCAATCTCCTGTTCCAGTTTATGATACACTTTGCAGAGAAGCTGTTGTCTTCCATGCAAACTACACGTCACCGCTAGTGACCAAATCAATGACAAGGAGCTTTTTGGTGCTCCACCCACTTTGCAACCAACTTCACCTGGTGATTTTGGTTCCATACCACTCGCCAACCAGCTGGGGAATAAAAAATGTGTTCCTTGCAACCAGAGGTGGCCGAGGACTGAGGCCTAAAGGAATCTCAATATTGAACCTGTTGATGGTGCTAGAGTGCTCAGACATGAAACTTGGTCTGATTTCCATTTTTATGTTTTCCACTATCACTAATCAGTGTGCCAAATTGCAGAACTTTTAACCATATGCTTTAGGACTAGCATAGACAGAAGAAGACAGATGATGAAGAATAGAAGAAGGCGATGGTGAATAAAAACAATATGGATGCTGTGAAGTTTTGCCACTCGGTCCCCAGTAATAACTTGACTGAGTTGCAGCCGTATTCTGAAACAACGGACAATGGCCGACTCAGTTTTATTATGGCATTGTATTTTCATTGCATTTTTTCTCTCTCTTCAGTGGAAATGATTGCTTTCATAAGCTCGAAATCAAATGCCTTTTGGACATGTAATATTTTGCTTTCTTTTGGAGAATTTGTATCAAATCTCTTCTAACAAATCAATGCTGCCCACACGGGATTTCCTTTGGCCTGAAATTCAGATTGAATTTTTTGCCTCATCTTTTTCTTTTTTCCCCCAAGTGATATAATTTATTAAAATGTGAAATTCCAATGTAGTTTATGTGCACTTTAAGGCTCTAGGCTCCAAAAGTCAAACACATAATTCATTCTTCTTTCTGAGGATAGAAGTACCTGGAAATTAATTTCACCTTTATTGTAATTTACAGATTGCAGCGAACACATTTACAAGATGGTGATGGAAGATCTTTTCTGTGTTTGATAAAGGAAGGGCCATGCTGATCGCATCAAGAGACAATGCGGAGAAAAAAAAGTCCTCGGTATGTCATCCAGGAAAATATCTGCAGGCAAACTGATTCATAAAGTTGTGAAAGAACTGTGGAGAGGGGTGGGCTGCGTCAAAGATAGAATTGGCACATTCAGATGGTCAAAATGTCTGAAAGGTCTGAATTATGGCCTTTTTATATATTTATTTCCTGTTAAATGCTCATCTTTATTCTGCTCACTGCAAGAAGATCAAACAGGCACTGCAAATGACCACAGGACCTGAAGCTATAGGAGGAGACACAGAGAAGAAAGCAGCAGAGGAGCAGTGACAAAAAAGGCCACCACATCAGGAAATGCACCACAGAAAGTTTTCTATAAAAGCAGACTCATCAAGGCTCCGCTGAGCCCACCGACATAATCTCTGGCAAGAATAGACAGCTAAGTGCCCATAAAGAGGAGGCACAGCAAATGCCCTGAACTCAGCACCGCCTGCTGGCTGCCTGGGGAGTACTTCATTTTGTTTTATCAGCTTCTGTTTACCCTCTGTAGGAGCAGTATTGAGCAAAGTGATAAACGTCTCTACAGGGGCCAAAGCATAATAGATTAAGCCAACAACAGACCTCAAGGTGAATATGTAAAGGTAACTATTGTTGGCAAAGAACCTTTAAGAAAGATTTAATGGAGGCGGTTAGTCTGATTTTTCTGCAAATTATGCAATTGTATAGGGCCATTTAGGCTGAGTGGAGACAATGTATGCTACTAATGTCTACATTATTTTTTCTTTTTACAGAAGACAGCACAACTGCCCATTTGCAATGAAATTTGCCTCGTCCCCATTCTTCATCGTTAAAACTCGGCATTTGGGCCAATTTATCACCACCGGCTCCTATCCATCTCTCCTTGATGCATATCCCAAATCTGATGAGCGCAGCCACAGCTAAAGAAATGAAGCAAAATTATTTCCCAACATCTGCTCTTCCTCTATCGTGCTGAAACAATTGGGAGATTTAGCATACAACAGCAGAAAGAACAATATGAGCTTCTTATTCGAAAGCGCTTGATTTACAATGCACTGTGGGCAGAATCGTGGCCTCGGGAATACATTCTTCTGCTGCGCCACTGTGACAGAAAGTGATTTAGAGAAAAAAAAAAGTAATGGAATTGTTCCTTAATTAGTTATGCAGTGAAGCAATAAGGCACACAGAAGAGCCAAATGGCTTAGTTGGATAAACTTCAGGCAAGTTTCCATTGTCATTTCTAAAAGAATTGAGACACAGTGTGAAATGTAAATAAAATCACAGTGATTTGCAAATGTATTTAACCCAACATTTAATTGAGAATAATATGAAGACAGCAAAACAAATTTTGAAATTTTTAACTTTTAACTTAGTTGAATGTACGAAAGACAACCCATTCTGACAGGTATAACAATGCATTTTTGCAAGTTAATTCCCAAAGAGCTATGAGTGGAAACTTTGGCATATCTCTGCATGATGTGCAGTGTCTCCTTAAAAAATTTGAGGAAACTGGACGCATGAAAGACAAAAGAAGACGTGGCAGGCCTAAAACACTATCTCCAGCAGATAAATAGTATCTGAAAGTCTGTGCTTAAGAATTATGAAAGAAAAGTCTTACTCAACAGGTCTGACTGCAATCTAGAGCTCATGAAAAGAAACATTTTCTCAACTACAGTGTTTGGTCTCCTTGGTTGTCAGATTGCTGGCATCGGATAAAAAATAACAAAAACGTCTGTTTCAACATTCGATATGTGTCCTTGGATCCTTTAATGTAAGACAGGGTTTAAATATTCTGTAAGTTATTACATTTTTCTAATTAATTTTATACAAAGCTCCAGCTTTTCTGGAAGTTGAGTTGCAAGTTTGAAAGTAATCTCCCAGCTAAACGTTTATGTGTGTGTTTGTGTGTGTGTGTGTGTGTGTGTGTGTGTGTGTGTGT